TTTATCGTTAGTCTTCCTTATAGAAGAATGTAAGCTGCAAGAGAGCAAGGATTTTGGATTGTCTTGTTCACTGATGTCTTCTCAACTCTTAGAACAGTGCCTGGCATATAAGAGATGTTCAGTAAATATTCAACTCAAAATGCCATTGCTCGCCTCATAATCCCAAGGTCTCTAATAAATATGATTTTATGTTGCTTCTTTGTCCTTAGTAGGGGGAGGTACTAATAACCAGACTTTGTTGATGCATTTTGCTCAAAAACACTACAGAAAAAAATCAAATCCATCAAGAGGTCCAAGAAACCTCTGGACCCATCACAGTGTAAGACTGCTAATTTTTAGATTTGTTTCGTTTGAATCCAAAAGTGGCTTGAATATCTCAATTTTTAAAACATGTATAATACAATTTAAGATTATTTATATAAAATAAGTTTTTATTCTCTTGAATTAAAAATATATATGTTATAGAGTATTAATATTCTATGAAAGATAATAACAAATGAAATATAAATACTTCTGGGATCAACAGTTTAAGAGTTTATGATATAGAACTCTGGGTACTGAAATGAGTAAATGAGCAGACTTTACTCTTAATCTCTCTACTATTTTGAAAATTATATTCCTAAAACTATTCTTTTTCTATTAACTATGGCTCCCATTTATGGTCTACTTTTTCTAAGTATCACCTGACACTGTCTTTTGCACACATCATCTTGTTTAACCATCACATTATCTTTTCGAGGGAGGTACCATTTTTTTTTTATTCCCATTTCACAGCTGAGACAGTTGAGACTTAAGAAAATTAAGTCAAACAGAGTTTTGAGGTTACTAGTAGAAAAGGTTGGCAATGAGGTTGAGCAAGGCTTGAATTCTTTACCACCATTATCTACATCATCTTTAACATATTAATGCCAAGACTCCTTCCCATTATCCTCTCTCATATCATCATAATTAGAGGGAATCTGTGGCTCTTTAAATTTAGGGCAATAATTTGGAAGGGAGGATTCTCAAATCCTTGTTCCAAACTTACTATACACATAGTTTTAATCAAATTACCTAACTTTTCTTACCACCTTTTTCTAAGTAGTAAAAAGAATATGAGTTTATTTCTGTTATTATTTTTCAGAGAGATAGAGAAAATAGATATGAACTCTTGGAAGGAAAGCTGTACTAGTGTTGTAACAATTAACTCACCAATTATGATGTCTTGTTTTTCTGAACTACCAGCCTGTCTCTTTTTTTGTCCTTTTTGTGCCTCCAATTTAACAATGCTTAATAAATGTGAAATAGTGAGCACACAATAAAAAACACTGAGTAAAAGACAGAGATATAAAGTCAGGATATTTGAGCAAATGTACCATGTACCGTGCTCTAGTGTAAGTTCCCTTGGTGGTTTTCTCTTTATCCCCTTGTCCATTGTCGAATGAAATTTGCCAGACTCCACGCTAACCCCCATCCCAACGTCCTTCTTAAAAGGTGTTCAGGGTTAAATCTTCAGTGCTGTAATCCAAAGGAAAATGACTTATTTTAAAAGTAGTAAAAACACCACATTCCTTTGGCACAGGATGAAGACCAGTTCAGCTCTTCGGCAGTAGATCATTGTCTATTGTTCTCCAAACAGTAAACCACTATTTCACACAGAGAGATTGTGGGCTGCAGTTCTCTCCAAGTCCTGGACTCCTCATGAATATGAAGTAAAGGCTCTGTCTGACCCAGAAAGTAGCAGGTAATTTCAAAAAAAAAAAAAAAAAAGGACAGGTAGGAAGAAAAACAAGCTTTATGTAATTTTGCTCTTGAAATTTCCTGCAGGTTTTAAGCAGGGTAAAATGGGGTCTCGGAAATGTAGAAGCTGCCTAAGTCGTCTGCTGATTCCGCTTGCACTTTGGAGCATAACTGTGAATATATTATTGTATTTCCCAAATGGGCAAATTTCCTATGCATCCAGCAATAAACTCACCAACTACGTGTGGTATTTTGAAGGAATCTGTTTCTCAGGTGTCATGGTAAGTGTGACTTTGGAAACTTCGGATCTCAGAAGCAGTAGTTTTACTAAGAATTGCTTTGTTCCTAGTAAAAATAATGAATAATAGAAAAACCATTCTACTAATCCTGGTTTGGGATTTGGAAGATGGCTGGGGGTACAGAGGCAGGTAGTCCCTTAGGACTTAGAGAGTAGCTTTGTTTTCTGTAAGCTTTCATTTACATAGCTTTAGCAAGCAATGCAAGAAATTAGTCCTAATGAAAGTCTGTGGGAATCTGGCCTTTAAAAATATTATGTCCTCATGAACTCTGTGTGTCGATTTAAGTTATTTAATCTCCAGCGGCATTGTTCTTTTCCAGAACAGACTTTCTACCTGCACTCACAATTTTTCTAGCTTGGTATTAAGACAGCATGGAAAAAGCAGAGACTTGGAGATCCAGACAAATTTTCATTCAAATGTAAGCTCTGTCATTTGTGCCATGAGACCTTGAGCAAGTTACTCTATTTCTTCAAGCCTCAGTGTCCTCACTTTGAAAATGGAAATAATGACATTTACTTTTCAGGGTAATTATAGTGATTAAATAAAATCTCATGTATGAAGTACCCAGGATAGAGACTGACTTTTAGTAGGCAGCTAGAGACTGTTGTGATTATAAACACTTGTTGAAGGATGGGCCATATCATCATTCAATAGTCCGACATTCTACCCCTAGTAATGCAGAGTATTTTTGAAAACTAAATTAAATTATGCATGGTAAGAATCTATGATTGTTTTCCTGGTGACTTTGTGCTCTTTAAAAATAAGTAAATCATGTTGGCAACTCAGAGAAAAATACACTTTTCCTGATCATATCATTGCTAAAAACGACATATTGTACACTGTAAGCTTACTATGCCACCAATAACTAAAAGATAATTTATTATAATTTACCTCTACATCTTTGTGAGTATTTAGTTATAATATTTGAATAGCTACCTTGGAAAACAGTTTTCATGTTATTATTTTGCATATTAAACTAGTAACCTTCAAAATAATAATACCCAGTGCTACTGAAGCTGCTATGTGATAGGTACATAATGAATGGTGGTGGTGCTATGAATAAATGCAAACCTTTTGGAGAAGATTTTGAAATGACATATTGAGATCCATGAGAATGCTTATATCTTTTGACTCAGTAATCCTAAATCCGAGAATTCATTCTGAGGAAATAATCCAAAATAATTAAAGAAATATATACACAGATTTTTGTGGCAGCATTATTTATAATAGCAATAAATAAAAGCATCCTAGCATAGAAACAGTCAAATGGTATATTTACTTCATATGGTGATGAAAATTGTAATTATGAAGATGTAATGATATAGAAAATAAATATTATTCTGTAAGTGAAAAAATATAACATAATTGTGAATAAATTATTATTGCAGCTATATAAATATATATATACATTCACTTACAGGATAATATATATATATAGGAAAAACTGGCGATAAATACATAAAAATGTGAGGGTGGTGGACTTAAAAGTAATTTTCCTACATTATTCTGGATCCCTCTGTACTGCAGTTACAATTTACAAGAAAAGAAAGAAAAAAGAAAGAAAGAAAGAAAGAAAGAAAGAAAGGAAGGAAGGAAGGAAGGAAGGAAGGAAGGAAGGAAGGAAGGAAGGAAGAAAGTTTCTCTTTCAACACAGGCTATGCCTGTGTTTCTCTTTTGCTACAGGACTCCAGGATCTAGGTCTATAATGTTATAGTATGATAATGAAACTGGTTACTGTACCTGGTTTACTGTGCCTTATCTCATCATAGTTTCCCTCAATATGTAATTTTAATAAAAGAAAGAGTTGTAAGGCATTACTGGGTTAAAATCTATTAAAATCTGTGTTAATTAATGGTGTTGAAAGGAGGGGAATATAGAACTTTTGCTTATATTCCATGTAAAATTTACAACTGGGGGAAAAAACAACTGTTTTTTATTTTTCATTGTCTATGATTTCTTGAAAAATGTTACTGCATCAAATCCTTTTAGGACAAAGAAGAAGAATATAGATAAATAATGAAATGGGTATATAAATAAATAAAGGCTGAAAGAATTGAGAAACTGGAAATGTTGACTGTGAACTTAGCTTCAAGACTCAGTACCGAACAGTGGGAGTGAAAGACAGGTGGAGAATTTGCCAGAAGCAATATATGGTCCCTATCTTCCCCAACTAGGAATTATAATGATCAATAAATTTATGTCTTTCCAGAGCAAAAAAATAATTCTTCACTTAAGATACCAAAAAAAGAGAAGTTGAATATATTGAATTCTCCCATTTAGTTGGCTTGATACACACAAAACACTGGAAAATTTAAACATGAGATAGCTTAAATGCATGGGGAAATTGAACTTACTTGAATTAAGAGATGTAGTTTCAGATTAACCATGCTTCTCTCCTCCATTCTCAGCAGTAAATGAAGAGAGGTTGGCAAACTTCAAAGTCTGTGAATGGTTTTCCTTTGTCTTTCACAATTGGGTCATTGAGAAATGCAGGTTTGCTGCGCAGGGCGGTATTCCCTTGTCCATGTTATTTGCTCCTCTTTAATCATTAGCTTTTGATAACTGATCAACCATGATAATAATATCTAATAATTATCAATCACTATAAATCAAGCACCATGTTCAAAATTTGACATGCATTACCTCATAACAACCCAATGAGATGAGTTCTCAATACCATTTATAGGAAGGACTCTTGTGTGCACTCTGCTAGAAAGCGTCAGAGCTGGGATTCAAATACAGATCTACCTGAACTAGAGTCTATGCTCAAATCACTGATTATGAGCATGAATGTAAACTAGTATACTATTTCTGATATTTTCTCTCTTCCCTACTATAGATGCTTATTGTAGCAGCAGTACTTCTTGTACTAGAGAGTGATAACAACTATAAATGTTGCCAGAGTGAAAACTGCAGCAAAAAATACATGGTAAGAGCAATAGTTTTTTTTGAAGATGGTTGAGTGGGCCCCAGCTTTTTTTCCTCACAGTTAGAAAAATGAAAATATTAACATTATTGTACTCTTACCATGATATTATTAGTTCAGAGCCCAAGAGCTTACGACAAAAATTATCTTCCATTTTGTTTACAGTCTTTTCTGCACCTTTATTCTGCTGATATTCTTCCAGAAATTCAGGATTTAAAAATACATGAAATTAGAAAATAATACTACTTTTTTCTAACTGGGTTTCTGTGAGTTTGTTTTTTTGTTCTTATTGACTCAATCGAGAAACAATTCACATATTAATAGATGGCATCCATTAAAAGTGTACAATTCCATGAATTTTGACAGTTAAATGCACCCTTGGAACCATCACAATCAAGATACAGAACTACAGAATGTGTCCATCACCCCCCAAAAATTAATTTTTGATCTGATTTTTTGTCATTATTGATTAGTTTATATTTTATATCAACAGAATCATGCAGTATTTGTCTTTTGTATGTGGCTTCTTTAATTCAGTATAATGATTTTTTGGATTCATCCATGTTATTGGGTATATGCAATACACATTTTCAAATGGAACTTTAAAAATAACTAAAATACAATCTAGAAAGAATAATACACCCAAATTTTCTAAGTCTGTGCTGAA